GGCAAGCAAAAAGAGTCACAGTGAATTAGAAAGGGTGGTAGAAAAGCAAAGAAGGAAAGGCTTAACCTGCCTGGCCCGAGACACCAACAGCAGGGGGCTGCGACAGGGATGGCCTCCCACAATACAGGAGGGACGTCGGGGCGGGGCATGAGGGGCGGGAAACATCCAGACGGTACCCAGACTCCCCCATAGCCCGTCTCGACCTTCCACTCCTCTGTGGGGTGGCATTCCTGTCCAGTCAACTAGCCTCACAACCAAACCGTTCCATTCAATCACTATACTCAACTTACTCCAGCTATACCTCGTGTTCCCTATCCTTCTTAATCACACTGGTTCCCCTATCGTCGTATCTGTGTACTACACTTGTTAATACTCAAAAACCAGGACTGAGAAAGACCCCTGTTGACTGCGTACTGCTATGTTAATACCAATCCTCCTCATTACAGCAACTACTCCTCCCCTCCCCCTCCCTCCCCTCACCGATTACCCTACTATACCCCAGGAAAAAAACAACACACAAAAACACTCAGGCTCAAGCCATCTACTATACCCTAGTCCTAAGCAGACTGTGACTGCACAGGGCCGGGCCATATTTCCATAGCCCCGGATTCCCATCCTGCTGTACCAAGCCTGGATACTTACCCCAGACGGCCCAGAACTTCGTCAGACCGTGATCTTTGGCTCTCCTACTCCGCAGAGCCTCAGTGCACATGGCCGCGCAGGCTCTCCAGGACCCGTGCGCGTAAAGCTTGCAGGGTGATCACCCTGCCCTGTCGACACCGTTCGTTTCGAAGGGTCCAGATGGCCCAGAGAACAGCCGCCCGTATCACCTCCGAGGCATAGAGCTCCCCCTTGTCCTTCCTGTCCACCTTGATCAGGGCGCCCAGTAAAATGTGTGCCACATCGTCCTCCGTGACACAGAAAGGAGAGTACTCTCCTACCTCTGCGGCCCACCACATCCAAAACTGTTGGAGAGGCGGACAGGCGACGAAGAGATGAGGGATGGTTTCCACCTGGCCGCATCCCGCAGTACAACGCTCGTCCCGATAATTGCCAGGTGGTAGATGAGCCACAACAGACCTGCCTGCTTCTCATTCGACAAAGATTGCAGCACTGCACACTGCTCTCTCCATTCCCTCTGTTGCCACCGGTACAGGTAGATCACGGGAAGCCACTCTTGTTTGGCCAACCGGTCCACAAGTTCTTCACGCAGATCCAATGGGGGGAGGAGGGAGCGGTACATGATCCTGGTAGTCACTTGAGGGAGCCGGACTTTTTGTTTATTATAATTCTGCTTAGGCCAGCTCCATTCTTGCGGATCAATCGCCAGCTCTCGCCTTGTGCTGCAAATCCGAAAGGGTCGGGCACTTCCCAGCCCCACCTCTTTTTTCTTCTCTGCACATACCGCCACCGTCTCAATTTCGTCAGTCCTCCACCGCGTCTCCGCACCAGGTCCGACTCTCATTGGGGCTCCCAGACCCTCATACCCAGTCACCACGTTCCATGCTCGCGTCACCACCTCCTCACCCTGTACCTGTGTGATCTGGTATACCTGCAGGGGGTGTGTCTCTCCCTTGCTTCTCACCCATTCTCCCACCACTCTATGGTCCACCCTCAGTGTATCCACCCATTGCGTGGGAATAGCCCGCTGAAGGGCGGATAAGTTTTGCCGCCTCCGGAACTTGTGGGGGAGCCACACTGCCATGTCAGCCTCTTTCCTCCAGTCCCTCTCTTCCTCGTCCCACATGTGCCCGATCTTAAAGACCCCACATTCCGCCCAATGCTTCCCAAAAGCTCCAGGCTTCCCCTGCCATGGGAACGGATCACCCGCATCGTCACATATTCAGGGGTTGTCAAAGAGGAGTTGATTATAGACATCGTCAGCGGTGACCGGTAACTCCTGCTGTAATTGGAGCTTTTTCCACAACGTCAGCGCAGAGGACCAAACCTGGTTCCTCTTGACGTGGCTAATGAGGCCGGGGCTGGCCAGCGCCACTAGGACCATTTGCTCTGTCATGCCAAGCGCCAGGGCCAAATGCTGAGTGGTAAGGCTCTCCCACGCTGTGCCCGCCGTCCCCAACAAAAACCACAGCAGGTTGCGCAGTTGAAGCGCCGTCATCTGCAGTTCTGGGTCCAAGATACCCAGCCCCACTTGACTCCTGGGCTGGGTGAGCTTCGACCAAGCCACCCTGGGGATTACCGACTCCGCTTCCACATCTCCCGCCCACAGGTATCTATGCACCGCTGCCCGCAACTGCCGGAAAACCCGCCTCTTCGGCATGTGGATGGCCCCAGCATACCACGTCCAACAAGGGGGGCGACAACACAGTCGCCGTCCACCCCTGCCCAGACGGGAGCGCACGTCTTCCCCTCCATCCCCTTCTCGCTCGGCAATTTCAAGCACTCTTTAACTCTCTTTTCAAAGTTCTTTTCATCCTTCCCTCGCGGTACTTCTTCGCTATYGGTCCCTCGCACATATTTAGCCTTGGATGGGACTTACCACCCAATTGGGAATGCATTCCCAAGCAACCCGACTCTTGGACAACACCTCGTTGCGCAGCAGGGTCCGGCGGTCGACGGGGCTGTCACCCTCTTCAGTGTCCCCTTCCAGGGAACCTGCACACGGCCAGCTGCAGAGGTTGCCTCTCAAGACTACAATTCAGGGAGCAACACGGCCCCCGGATTTTCAGTCTGGGCAGCTGCAGAGGTTGCCTCTCAAGACTACAATTCAGGGAGCAACACGGCCCCCGGATTTTCAGTGTGGGCTATTCCCGGTTCGCTCGCCGCTACCGAGGGAATCCTTGTTGGTTTTTCTTTCTCCGCTTAGTTATATGCTTAAATTAGGCGGGTGCTCCTGCCCGACCTGAGATCAAAAGGCAAGGCCCGACGTACCTCCACAGCTTGAGGCCGACACCCCCAACCGCAAGCCCACCTCAAGCTGATGGGAGCGAATGGAAGGCGGCGACCACACAAACCAGAGGGACGACCTTACGTGCCGTTTTCAGGGAAACGAAGACCACCACCCACAAACGGGTGCTGGAGGGCAACAACAGGACGGAGTGAAACGCACCACTCTGGGCTGCGGTCCCCACAGGCCCGCTCGGAATGCTCTCCAATTCCCTTCCACTTTAGGCTATCAACGCTCTCCAAGTGGGAAGCGAGGGAAGCCACGACCACGG